ATTGTACAGCAAGTGTCAACTGAACATGTGATAATGCAGTCTGACCACTCTAATGTGACCGCAACTACGTGATCGTAAACTTGATGTTTACATTTTTTTGGTGGGAACTCATTGCAACTGATTTCTGGACAAGCTTCACTGCATACTGATCAATCCAACATACCGGAAAGCGGAAACCTTACTTTTTTAAATAGTTGGCCATAGACTGACAAATATTTTAAATTAATGGATTTCAATCTAAATGTGTCGGCAAGATCTTCAGAAGGCATAAATTTTGCTACTGAAGCGCAGTGTGGAATTCTAGAGGGATATTAAATTAACCAGTACACATAGCATATTGGAAAGCAGGACCTGAAAGGTTGGAAAGTCCAACCTCAGCCTGTCCAGGAACTTTCCACTTCCAGTCCATTTTATTATATACATTATACATATCTAGCTTACATCAGCCAACCTCACTAAATGGCAGCAATTAACTTCATATACAAAGAAGCTGAAAACCCCAAGCTATAAGCTCTCAGGCCCAACGGTCATCCATCTGGCAGACCTGCGGCTTTAAGTCCACTCCAAGTGGACACCCTGCAAAGAAAGAAAGAGAAGGAGGTGGGCTTTGCCTGAGTTCACGTTTTCATTTCGTTGATGTTCTTTTTCGTGGTAAGCATGCTAGTAGGGGGCATAGCTGCTAAGATAAATGCTTAGAGCAGTAACGTCATAGTCATACTGTCCTAAGACCTAACGTAACGAAAGTAGTAACGTCGTTCTTAACCTACTCGTATTGCCATAATCATGATTACCCTGACGACTAGCCCGCCTGGCGCCTGAGTCCATGACACTCGTAAAGTCGTAATCAGCATGACCCCACCGTCTGAACCGCGAACGTCGAGTCCAGACTTCCATCGAGTCCACGTCGACATAGGGGCGTACGCGGCCCACTCACAACAACTAAACAAAGTTAACAAACGGGACCTGTCGGTCCGTCGGCGGTCGGACCAATCCAAACCCAACGGTCCTAACCTTAACAGAGAAAGCCTGAACAATGATTAGGCCTACTTGATTTGAGAGTCATGCTAGTGTGTTACCTTCAGTTCATTTTTAATATTCTCATCTAATCGAGATTTAAACCAATATCATGAATATGCATGATAATGCTGGACTGCTGGTAGCTATGCAGTATGCACTACCTGACTACCGCCTACTGCGGCACTGCCTAGCGCCTACCGGTATAAGCCTATAAGGTATTCATAATAATTGGTCTACCAGTACCAGACTAGTGATGGACATTTTACTCAGACTGGAACACTTGATACGCTCTTCCCAATCTGCTTCGGATGTCTGCCTTGTGGTTTACATAGACTTACAGTCTGCATTTGATAACGTCTGCATCGACTCACTTATATTCAAGCTCAGAAGTGCAGGACTCACAGGCAACATGGTGAGGTGGTTGCAGGAGTGAGAAGTACCTAAAAGCATGAAGTATACGGGTCTGTGTGAGAGGAGTCCTGTCAGACCCCCATGTGTTGGGAGCAGGCGTTCCCCAGGGAGCAGTTTTAAGCCCACTTCTATTTAATCTCCTGCTCATGGATATCCCACAGCACCACAGCACACACACTCTCATCTATGCCGATGATGTTACAATAGCATGCCGTGCACAAACCATGCAAGCAGCAAAATTGAATATGACTAACTATCTAAGGATCATCAGTGACTACTTCAAGAGTTGGGGACTGGTGGTCAATCCCAACAAAACAGTTTTCCAATACTTCAGCAACAAATGCAAGCAGGTTCCAGTCATGCGCTTTGATGGCAGGCTCATAAACTATAAAGCACAGCACAAAGTGCTTGGCATGATTTTGGATGCTCCACGCTTATGTTGGGGACCACATATTACTAGCTTGCGATGTGACATTATCCGCAGGATGGACCTTCTTAAACATATGGCATCCCCAAACTGGGGCGCATCCAGGTGCTTCCTCCGTAAGTTTTACTGTGCATATATCCGAGCAAAGATGGATTATGGATCCACCCTCTATCAGACAGCCTCAAAATCAATGCTTGCCAAATTAGATGTGCTGCAAAATGCCTGCTTGCGCCTGATCCTGGGTGCGCGACGAACAACTCCCATCATCTCCCTGCAAGCTGAAGCGCGTATACCTGCCCTGTCCCTCCGCCGCCAGTCACTTGGGGCTCAATTAGCTCTAAATCTGTGTTACAGACCTACTAACGATAAAACTGCTTCACTGATGATGCTTCCCTGCACAAGGATAAACTCCACCCTAGCTACAGCCGCTGCCCATCTCCGTTTGTATGGGCCCTGTCACCGTATACCTGTGCCTGTTGTGGATCCAGCCCCTCCGTGGGAACAAGTTACTGCATACATACAAGTCAACATGAACTCTACATTGGGAGTGGAACCCATGCATCAATTCGGTGCTACCATGGGTGAGAATTTTCCAGGCTTTCACACTGTTTTCTGTGATGGTTCTTGCCTGCCTGACCTGGAATCGAGTGCTTGTGGCATATACATTCCTTCGCAGGATAAAGCCATTTCTTGGCGCCTGCACCCAAAGAGCAGTGTGTTGACTGCTGAGCTCTTTGCCATCTACCACTCGTTGGTTGTTGTTGAGGGTGCTTCACACCCTGACTGGGTTGTCTGCTCTGACTCCCGTTCAGCTCTACTTCTCCTGCAGTCACCTAGGAGCCTCCACACCAGGTGCTCACTTGTTGTCTACCGCATCAGGGAGATGCTCAGGAGGCTCAATGCTGACAGACAAGTGATGCTACAGTGGGTGAAAGCCCATGCTGGGATTTGTGGAAATGAGTTGGCAGATCAGGCAGCCAAGTTGGGACATGAGCTCAACCATAGCTCATTCCACCTGGTAGAGTTTGCAGACTGTAAATATTGGCTCAGTAGACAATTACTTGCTCGTTGGCAGGAAAATTGGCACCAAACTGTTGCAGTTTCTGGAAAGGGACAACACCTGCTGACCATACGAGAAGATCTACTTCCTGTCCCATGGATACATGCAAGATCTCGGCGTGTCACAGTTGTGCTGGCTCGTCTTCGGCTGGGACATGTGGGTGTAAATGCATATATGCATCGCTTCTCCATGTCTGACTCACCTTTGTGTGCCACCTGCAACCGGAATAAAACCATAGAACATTTTATGCTACAGTGCAGTCGATATAGTGTGGGGCGCCAGACATTAGAGCGCACTCTGTTTGGTTTGGGCATACAGACCCTGACCCTGCGAACACTACTTGGCGGGGGTGACTACTCAAAACATATACAACATCTTATCATTAAAGCAGTTACCGAATTTCTTGCAAGCACTGGACGCCTTGGAACCCTTTGAAGAAGTATCAAGCCATAGGGGAAGTAATTTGGAAACAACATAAATCCACCAGTTATTTGGAAATACCAAGAAGATGAATCACCAGTTATCTGGAAATACCAAGAAGAGGAACTATGCCAGCTATGAATCAAGTCAGTTAAAAGATCTTTTGAAACAATGAAAATTATAGCAGCAGCCCAAGCAACAGCCATCTATCTGGAAACAATACCAGGGAAATCCTGAAATAACAGTCACCTCCTACAAGCAGGAAAATTTGACTGTGGCTGCAATTGGAAAATTTGGAAAGCCAGCAATTAATGCCATGTCCAGGTGTGACAGTCAGCCTGCGTGAGGTCATCTCTTCACCTTCAACAAAGCACACACACACACAGACTAGTGACTACCACTCTACCTAGCTATACTATAGCCTGCTATAGCATAGCCTAGGGCATATATATAGACTTTTGGATGCCAAGGATGGCTCTAAAAAAGTCTACTTTGCCATTGTTTTTCTCATTTACTTTTATTTAGTTAGGCTTCTGTATTTTAACAAATCTGGCAAGTTCTTTAATCTCTTTAGACAGTCTAGGTAGTCTCTACAGTCTACACTGAACACTCTACAGTACAGTCCAAATTTGAGTAGCTATCCTGCCCAGTGCCCAAGCATGGAAAACTTCTACAGTTCTACCATTAGGGCTGCAACTGCAAGTCTGCAACTAGAGCTTTCCTGCCATTTCTGGAACCATGCAATTTCCGCCAGATCAATTAACTCCTATCTAATTGTTAACAAAAGTGCAGGATCAGGCTGCGAGATTCCAAATGTCTTGAAAATTTGTCCAGTTGGAGCAGCCAGATTTCAGAAACAAGTACCTAGGAAAATTTCAATTTCACCCTGCCCCTGTCCAGTCTCCAGTGTCCCAGTGGAGTGTCCCAACTTCCCAAGTGTGGGCTTTGGATTTGTAAGTTGTAACAGATAAACTCTTTGGCCCGCAGTTTGGCTGTTTGGGCCTTGGGGAGAGTTTAGCAACACTTAAATTTAAAATTTTGAAATGATGTTAGTACAAACTAGCTACAAAGACTACAATCATAGGGTATTATGGATCATGGTGCTGGTGGCATTGTAAATGCCTTAATGACCATTTAGGCATTCCCATATGACCTATATAATTGAGGAATGAGGAGCACTGTGGCCAAAAATAGGAGTGCACTTGCTTGAGTTGCTTCAATAGGTGATAGGAGTGGGACAGCTGTGCACTCCACTCTCCAGTATAAGTGGGCTGGCAGCAGCACCCGCGGCAGTGCGCTTTTCCCACTCTTAAATCAGCCTCCTATTGTAGTGGGACAAGCGTGCTGTTGCCTGTTGGCCTGCTGCTGCTGCTGCTCCTTCCCTTCTTGCTCCTCAAGTGAGTAGGGCTTGTATGTTGCAATTCATGTATGGAATTCCATCATGTAAAAAAATATGGATACAGACTGAAAATCAAAGCATGAATAATGAGAAAAGTTTCAATGTCCTGAGTCCTGACAAATCCAGTGGGATGTAAATTTATAGCTGTCTAGAGTGGAGACTCGTGCAGTCGTGCTTGATGATGAGAGCCTCCCTCAGCTAGCTTCAGCCTTGTGGTGTTGGGGAGCCCCATGACAATGGTGGTGTAGGTCTATTATATAGCATTCATTAACCTGAGGATTATTTTTATTGTTGCAGATTTTTTTCTAATTAGGTTATAAATTATTCAGATCTTCCTTAAATATGAGTGCCAAACAAGAAAGAAATGGAGTAGGAAGTAGCAAAGCAAATAAAAATAAATCATCTATTTATTTTTTGATGTGTAAAGCATTTACCAGCAACTCACACTGGCCAGACAAGGTAAGAACTATTTTTCAATTATTTGATTTTTTTTAATGTTCATTATTTTTTGGGGTCTCATTTGATAAGATTATAATACATTCATCTTATAATTTACTTACTACACAACACAGTTAGAATTGAAATGTCCCAATAATACCAAGTAAATCTGTTCCACTTTATCTTTTTAGTGACAGTCCTAAAGTTAGACTGTTAAAGCTCTTTGAGTGACTTGAAAACTTCACAATTTAGTTTATTTGTTTAATTGCTTATCTTGATTAATGAGGATAAATTAACTCCCAATTCAATCAAGATAAATTAATTTCTTCATTAATTGGCATGAATTAACTAAAATCTCATCTTCTGTCACAAACTTGAGATGATGCTGTTCTGAATGTGAGATGCCAGTTGATAGGTACTGCCACCAGCCATTTTGGCTGCTAGGTATATATATTGCATTTCCAGATGACCCGCAATCATGCATATCAAATCGAATTGAGCCTTCCATTTTATTTATTTATAATGATTATTGTTTTAAATTATTAATTTTGAAAACTATATAAATTTGTTTGCTTTATTTCTTAACAGGACGACTTTCTAGATGTGATTTACTGGGGCCGGCAAATTTTGGGCCTCATTATGGGCATTATATGGGGAATATTTCCAATCAAAGGATTCCTGGGTTTGCTCCTGTAAGTATCCCATTATTTTGCTTCTTTTCTTGCATGTACATCTATTATAATGATAAGTGACTATAAGCTATCAGTGTAATACTGCTGTTATTAATGGTGTGAGTCGTATGGCTACATCTTGTGAGACTTAATCTAAGCCAAGCAGTGACTGTGAACATTTCACATGGGTAGGCAAATATTTTCAAACGTTTGAATGCAATTGTAAGCATGGTCAAGAGACTTCATTCACCCTTCCAAAGCATATCTACTCAGCATGGAATCTTCTTTGTAAAATTTTTTAAATTAAACCTTGAAATTTCATGAACTTGTTCACAAAATGCTGACCTAATTTTTCTAAGTGAAGTAGGTACACACTTGAGTAATTTCTACAGATCCATGTTTAAAAAATGAAGCTAAGCTGTTCATATTACATTTCATATAATAACTCACTCCTTTGAGCATTTGCAAGTATCAAAGCAATGTCAGAATGAAACCTTGTCATGTTATTAATATGTATGAGAAGTCATTTTTGTAAGCATCTGATGTTAATCTTTTTTCTTTCAGGTTTTGTCTTGTCAGTGCAGCAGCTGTGTATCTTTATGCATTTAATTTCCAAAATGTAGATGAGGATGAATATGGAGGAGCATGGGAAATTATCAAGGAAGGTTTTGTGACATCATTTGCTGGGTTCTTGGTGAGTGCAGGCCAACATTAGCCACAGTAATCACTTTAAAAATTGACTACAATTCATGCTCTTGTTTACTCATTGCATTATGTTGCCTAGCTGCTTTTACAGTAATTTACAAATTGAGCAAAAGAAGAACACTTGCAAAGTATCATTCATGTCATAACATTTAATCTACCATAATTTGAGGAATGTGTTGTGTATACTCATATTAGTATAAACCTAACCACTAATATTATTAGTAGACACATGTTTACTTTGTTCATTCCTTGTAGTAGAAGCTTTTCAAGTTTCAATGTTACTCCCAAGATGACGTCTAAATTTTATTATTTAAGATAATTTACCATAAATTGTGAAACTTGTTATTTATACATAAACCTTCACTGTTTATAACACTGATTTTCCATCTCATGATTACTTGGCTCAAAAATAACTTTTATGAGATTTTATGTGAATGAGTTCTTTAATTGTGGCACTATTGTCTTGAATTTAATGGTGATAGCCTTTTTATTTAGCTAGGAAAAAAGAAGAGGACCACATATATTTTATTCCTATAGTGCACATTATACTTCTCATTGCAGCAAGTCACAAACATTACCTACTGAGACATTATCACAAATGTGTTGAAGTAAACTCTGATTTTAATTCAAGCTGTAATGATGTTTTTATAGGTTCTGAATCAGCATATTAGTCGTTTTTTGTATTGAGATCATATTAACTAGTTCACCAAGCATATGACTTTTTCTCCAGGAAAAATTCTATTATCAATAAAGAGTCTTTAAAAAAATTAATTTATGATGCTTATTGTGGAGACTAGGGCCGTAATTAGAATCACTTTTAATTGATGCCACAAACCATAGTCACCATTTATACCATATTTCCACAAAACAGACAGAATACCTACAAATATCTGTCCCTAGTACCTACTTGTGGTTATTTTGTTAATACTATTCATCATTAGATTTATCATTAGTATGTCTTTATACCAGTTTTATCATTATTTTTTGTTGTTTATTTCTGTTGTGGAACTTTGCTGCTGGCCATCAACTTGATTTCTGAGTAATTATTCCTCCTGTGCAGGTAATGTGGATCATCATTTACTCTGGCCTACACTTCCAAGACTGACGCCCGTAGAACTCTGTCAATTTGTCATGTTTCCATTTTGTGAAGAATAAAACATTGTGCTGCTAGTGTTCAACATTTGTTCATGTAGGATGTTGTACTTGGGTTCACATGGGCTTTTATGTTTAAAGAAAAATTAATTAATTTGTTTAATATCCTGGTATTTTATTGGTTTTGATATCAGTAGGCATAAGTTTCATTTTTATTCATAAACAAAACCTAAGTTGTTATCAAATTATTGACAATTGCAATTAGCGCTAATGACCATACTTTTTTCTATAAGTTTCATTGGAATCGAATGACATCTCTTCAATTGAGCTAAATAACTAATTACAGGAAAAATCACAAACATTTCACTTGACTCTATTTCATATGACACAAAATATACCTATATTCTTTTATTTCCATGCAAGATTGTTTTCGCTGAGACATTAAATTTGTAATCACTTTTTATGCTTATTTCCTTGTATTAATAAATTCTAATGAACCACAATCAGCATGTTTTGAATTAGATGCATTTTAATGCAATGACTTGATGACAGTTTTTTCTGCCTAAAGACATGTCAGAAGTAAAACATGAATTGGTCTATTATAACTCCATTAATTTAGAGGCGCTTCTTATCTTTACTTCAGAGTAGTGATAGTTTTGTGAATAATTATTTCAGTCCGACTCTTATCCTGGGTTTTGGAAACGAAAGATCCAACTTTCATCTCGTCACAATATCGCATCGGCAGCTTATAAGCTAATCACCATAGTGTGCCTGTATTGAGTTATAGTTTTATTTTCAAGTTGAATATTAGGCTTCTGTGCAGAAGTTCTGGTTCGTGTCAGCCTAAGTAATCGGGTACGAAGTTCTGCCTTGCTAAAAATTCTATTTCACTCAAATCAGAAACCCTGCCTGCCTGTCTCTCAATTTCTGCAATACGTTAACCAAACGTGACTTCAAACTTGTAGATTGTTTATTAAATAAGTGATATATCAGCCCAATTGTTTCTGGAGGTCCTTGACGCTGAGTTTCAAACATTACCTACCTGACCCTAGCAACTGAAGGAAATTAAAATTCGTAATTATGTCAATTATTGACAATTACTAATTATAATTATTGCGAGTCAATTCTGATTTGTTTAAGTAAGATGTATAAATGCAGAAATTGTCGAAAGATTCGGAACATCGATCATCTACATATTTGGGTTTTTAATAAGAGCTCAGGAGGAACAAGTGGAGGCATAGTAGAGTGGGTCATAGTAAAGTGGGGCTAGAGTGGGTCATAGTAAAGTGGGGCTAGAGTGGGTCATAGTAAAGTGGGGCTCAGTAGAGAAAACTTTGCAGTTCTTCCACCCACTGCTTGATCCATCAGCACACTCGGCCTTGCTACGCTCATATGTCTGACCAAACTGGGTCAGGACAACCCACAAAAAGACTTGTTGGTGATGCAGTCAATTGTTAGACAGTGAGCCAATTATTTCTCCGAGAAGTGGTCTCTATACATAATGTGACAGCCAAACAACTTGGATATAGCTTCTTGACCTATACGTATAGTATACAGTCCTTTTTAATAGATTCTTGACCTACACTTGTATACAGTGCTCTTTAATAATAAGAATTGTTTGTACAACAGTATTTGCTGCGGGCTAAATGTATTCATATTTATCTGGATCCTTTTTTACGGCTTTTGGCATCGATTAAAACGCGTATTCAATTCTTGAAAATTTATTGATTTATTGAATGTCTAAGATATTGTAAAGATTGATTTTATTGCTTTGTTTAGTTATTTAACCGATGCACTGGAATAGATTTTTACTCAATGTTTGAGCGATATTGGAATATTCTTCGTTAGCATTTGTACGGAAATTCTCTCATATTTTCCGACATCAAAGGGACCACAAATGTCATCATCATCATCTGAAAGGATTTCATTAGATTTAGTTCATTTAAGCTTCACTATCCTTATTGACGGAATTTAATAAAAAATTGAGAATAATGAGATTTGTTGCAGAACATTTCTGAAGCAAAAGTACTATACGTATTTATTACTGAGCACTCGGTTGACGGTAGGTGTAAGTAAACATGTAAGTAAACTCCTTCGAGTTTTAATAATGTGATTGTAATTTAGCTGAAAGTTAATTTGACGCATGTCTTCTTTGCATCTTAATGTTGTTCGTGTTAAAATTTTTAAGGTAATTACGAGTAATTAATCAGACAAATTTGTTGATTTCATGATAGTTATTCTTGGAATTACCAAACAATATTTGTTTGTGTCTTTCTGAAGAATGATTTTGAAGATTATTCAACTAGATTATTGTAACTTGTTTCTAATATGAAATAAAATAATTAGATAGACAATTACTATGACTCGTCTGAAGCATTAAAATGTTACTCTATATTCTTTAGTGTAGAAACGATTACGTGCATAAAGAAGGTATTCCGAAATATGAGCGCTGAAGGGACCATCGAAGTGGTTGACGCTAAGGGAAGTACTCGGCCGGTGCTTGGGCAAGTCCTAAAGCTATCGCAGGATACGAGCAACAAAGATAAAATTCAGAGTACGTCGGGAAACTGCCGCCAGCCTCCACTGTTTGCTGGGCACAGACCAGTTCTTAACTTACCGAGCTGCCCTTAATATCGAGAGCGTGGTGGCCGAGTCATTGAGATCACCTAGATCGGATCAACGAGTGTGAGGTTCGAAACCGGTAACTGGTTGTAAAATTGCTGGCCAAAGGTGGTCTCGTGGTCAAAAATCGGCGAGATTTCAACGTGGCCTAATCTAAACTAACATCGCAATTTTAATCACGCCAGGCTTGGCTTCCTGTTTCGACGGCTCGTGCTGTGCTCTATCAAATTAAAGGGACATTTTAACCTCTGGCTTAGAAAACTAACTCTTGCATCATCAGTTCGGCGGAGCAAAGTTACGCATGCATAAAAAAATAGGTGAAAAGGACAAGTTTTGAGTGACAACGAGCGTTGTTTCAACTATACTGTGAAAAAAAAACAGTCGTGCTTCATCAATTGATCGGTGAAATGTTACGCACACATCAAAGACGAGTGTAAAATACAATCTTGAGTGATGAAGGGCGTTCGACAATTCGAGCATCGCTGAAAAAACTCGCCGCTGAAAAAACTCGTCTTCATCAACTCGCCGTACAAATTGACGCAGTGTGCGTTATTGGCAGGTCTGGAGTGAGCGCGGCAGCTTGCAGGGCATCATCTTCGATTTTGTTCACGTGTCTCACAAAATTTTCGGCGGGCTTGATATTTTCTGAACTCGAAGTTCAAGAAGATCTATCATCGTCTTTGATCATAATATTCAGCGTTGAAAATTTGGCTGAAGTTTCTACGGATGTCTGATCGCCTTATTTGAATACTTCGCAGTCTTTCTCTGCTGAAGGAAGCTCGGATATAAGTGACAAGCTTTTTTAGTTTAACATTCTAACCGAGCGAACATTGAACGAACTCTTTAATATTTTGCTCCGAATTTTGTGAGTGCATTCAAATATTCAATTTCACAGAGAAACTAATGAAACTGTTCTGTTTATAATTTTTTCTTCCGTTGTTCTACTGATAATTAATATTATACCATTATAATGATCGCTTGCCTCCTTGACGACTATATGGTCTTGCGAAGGTTTAAAAACTAGCCTGTCTCGAGTTATTATATTATAACATTCAGCAATATAGCATCATTTAATAGCTACTTCATGATGAGTTTTAAATGAATAAATGTTGAGTATTATAATTGGGGACGATTCTTCAATAAATTGAACCACATTGCACTAAATAGTAGTACAAGTCCCGATCTGCCTTGCAGCTGAGAATTTTCTGAGCTCAGAAGACATTTATTGCCTACAAGTGGCGGAACAACTGTCCTGGCCAGAACGCTGATTACCGAGAGCGAAGAACAACATTAGAATATTATTTGGAGGAGAAGAGAGAAAGAAAATACGAGTGAAGAACAGCTCAATCACAGTCGTATGAAAAAGCCCTGCAACTATCTTCCTACAGAATAACTTTGCCTTCAACTGATCTGTCTATACGACAACTTGATCCCACAATTGATCTATATACATAACATTCTATCCCCTCAACTGCACTTCTTACACAACTTGACCCAAAAACAGATCAACCTATATAACAATCTAACCTCATAACTGCTCTTCTTACAAAACTTTATCCAATAACGTGTCAACCTTTAAAACAACTTTACCCCATAACTTTTTTGCTTATAAAAAAAACTTGACCTCACCTTAGTCCATATCTTATCGAGATCTGCAATCGGAGTCCGCAAACTGTCGTGAGAAAATATAAGCCTCATCGTTTTTTTATTATGCATATAACGTTTAGTAGTTAGCAAATAGTTTTCCAGCAGGAAAATTGTGTGCATTTTTAACAAACTATTTAATAATTTTAATATAAAACATAAGTTCGGTAGTATTCAGTCGAAATGAGTATTCCAAAGTGTGCGTTATCGTACCGATATCTTATTATTTCTATCTATATCTTATCCAGCTGTTCATCACAAAGAATTGACCTAACGGGTACTGTGTCTACCTTAGCAAATTTCCAGACAAGACATAATAATCTACTCAATGATGAGCAGGAACTGTCAGTTGAATGTTCATATAATTCATCACAAAGTGTTGGAAACTCTTCAGGATTGCGTCCGAGTAGGGATTTAGTCTCTAACATTTCTAGTGTAATAAATTCGTCTCATTACTCAGACGTGTTCAAGCCCGTCGAAAGGATTAACGGGCAGTCATCGCCTTTTGAAACCGTTTCAGGTAAATCGTCTTCGCATCTGGAAAGCCACCAGAATGTTTCACAATTGAATCGCTCGACTTTGAACAAAAGAACTGCATTACAAAAAAGAAACTCTGGTGATAAAATTAGTCTTCATCCTTCTCCGACTACAGAAAATGTTAATTCTTCTAACAGTGCTTCTTCTGTAGAATCAAAACTACCACGAGACGAGTCTCATTTCAGGAACACCTCGTACCGATTTTGTGGCGTGTTGGATGTTCAAAACAGTTCCTTACACCAAAGGGTCAAAAGATATGTGCTTGAAGGGAGCAAATGGGAAAAGTTGGAAGTAACTTGGGCTATTGTCAAGAAAACAGAATCTTCTACAATATCCCACAACCAGGTAATGCACGATTTATACCAGGCCTTTAAGTTATGGAGTGATGTATCCAAACTGAAATTTGTTGAGGTTCATCCGGAGACGCCAAAAATAGACATTGCCGTTGGGTTTTACACCCTTGATCACAGAGATCGATACCCTTTTGATGGACCTGGCGGGACCCTTGCTCACGCTTTTTATCCTGGAAGTGGTGGGGACGTTCATTTCGATGACCAAGAGGTGTTCATGCGTCACTCTGAAGCAATTGGTAGTACTTCTGGCACGAGTTTTTTGGTAACCGCGGCTCATGAACTTGGACATTCATTGGGTTTGCAACACTCCAACGAGCACACGGCTTTGATGGCCCCGTACTACCAAAGCTATCCGGAAACTTTTGAGTTACCTGACGACGACCGTCGAGCTATTCAAGCCTTGTATGGAGTACCAGATTCTGGATTAAATCCTTATCGGCCTCAGTTTACTACTCCAGATACGACAACCACAACCAGCACCTCCACGACTCCAACAACAACAACAACAACAAGAGAGCCAAATCAACCTCCCGTAGTTCCTCGCACAACTGTACCCACAACTGTACCTAACCAAGGATCATGTAAACCGAAGTCAACAGGCTTGGAAATCCCCGATGCATGTAGCACATCGTTTGATGCAATCACTTACTTTAGAGGCGAGCTGTACTTTTTTAAAGATAAATTCTTGTGGCGTCTTCCAATGTTGACCTCTGAGTACCCATCAGAATTAGAACGTCTTGGTCTGGAAGCTTTTTCAGGTCTAGAAAAAATTGACGCTGCGTTTGAAACACCCAATGGAAAAAGTCTTGTTATTTTCTCGGGCGAAAAATTCATTAAGACCACGCTACATCGAAATACTGAATCAATCGAGAAAGGTAAATTGGTAGACCTTGGCATCAAAAACGTCTCGAAAATAGATGCCGCCATGATATGGGGACGCAACGGATACGCTTATTTATTCAGTGGAGATCTGTACTGGAGATTGGGAAGTGACGGCAAAGTTGAAAATGATTACCCAAGACCCATGGACGTGTGGCGCGGAGTTCCTTACAACATTTCAGCAGCAGTTTCAGTGGGCGTGAAGACATACTTTTTCTATGAACGTACCTTCTGGCCATTCGACAATCAGAAAATGAGTGTTGTCGATCCGCCTCGTTTGATTTCTTCGTTTTTCTTTGATTGTCCTTATCCTGTACACGAGGAAAGACAAATTTGCTGAAAGGTAAAAGTTTTGTAAATTCGTATTCTGTTAAAGTCTTTAATAGGTACGCATTTATCTTGTCGCAGACATCTGACGAAGGTCTACTGTAGATTATAATATACATGAGTTCTGCCTTTTTGTTTTTGTATCCTTTCAACATAAACCTGCAGGGACCTCAACCGAAGAGAGTTTGCTGATGGTTTTCTTACCGTTCATTGGTTTGTATTATTATTTAAACTCATTCAAGGTCTCGTATTCAGCCAACGACTTGTGCCAACAAAAGTAAATAAGAAAATAAAATAAAATAATACATGTATAGGTTAAATTTCTAGAGTGAGACATTAACCTAAACCTCCTAAAATTTGTTATTGAGGCGTCCATATTCGGTGTTTGAACTGGTTCAAAATTTGAATGATTATTACTAGTGGTAATAGAGTTACTGCATTTTTGGTAATCTATATGAATGGTTTCAATATTTGGACTGTAGAATGCATAAAAAATGACGGTAAAGCAATGGCATTTGATTAACGAATAGCCCGACAAACGGAGGCAACGTCCACTAGTGGTGAGACAGAGACGCAGTGCATGACGGCGAGGCGGAGATGGAGTAAAATAATATACATTTTAAAATTACTTTTTAAAGACAACACTTCCAAAGAATCCAGTGTCTCCAATCTTACAGATGTACAATGAATTTCTCATTTAATTTTTGAATAGTAAAAAATTTAATTTTTTTAATATATAAATTTTTTTTAATATTAAATTTTTTTTCAAAATTATTTATTCTATTAATTGATTCATGCATTGCCTCTGACTTCACACAAGTGTGCAATATTTCAGATCAATTAGACAGGTAAAAGTGTGTCAAATATCAGATTTGTAGCTGACAAAATTACTTTTTCAATTTTTTTAATATTGAAATTTTTTTTTATTTTTAAAATCATTTATTTTGACATTTGATTTATGCATTGGTTCCAACTTTACACCAGTGTGCAAAATTTCAGATCGATAGGAAAAGTAGAAGTGTATTAAATTTCGATTACAAGATTTGTAGCAGACAGACAGACAAACAAACAAACAAACAAGAAGTGAAGTTAAAGAGAAGTGTTGTAAAATGACACGAGTGAGACGGGATAAATAACGGCGAAACAAAAATGGGGACCGATTCGACACTGCAGCGAACTCGCGTGCGAACTCGCCTGCGAGCTCGAACTTCATTTTCAACTCTGGCACTCATAACTCCTTCAATTATGAACGGATTTTATTCAAATATACTCACCGCAGCGTACTGATATTATCTACTTATATTTCAAATTTGAATAAAATCCGTTCATAATTGAAGGAGTTATGCGTGCCAGAGTTGAAAATTAAGTTAGGTTTTCCATTCGAGCTCGCAGGCGAGTTCGCACGCGAGTTCGCTGAAGTGTCGGACCGGTAAATGGGGTCAAAGAAATAAAGAGACGAATGCAAAGGTTGAAAAATACGAGACGAAGGCACTCCTTGAATCTTTTATCATGACGATAAATATCCTTGAACTGGCATTTTTGAAAATTATAAATTTTTCGCAGTGTCATGCATTGACTGCATAGCTACATTCCAGGAACAATTTTTTGGGCAAGCGCGGATAGTTTGTGAGAAACAGCAAACTCCCATCAGATCGAGTCTTGGCCATTGATATTTTCGGTGTGCAGCTGTCTGCTGCCATGGTTTAATTAAACATTGAGACTTTACGGGAATTCTCTTCACATCCGAAGTCTTAAAAATCAATCAGGAAAAAAAACTTAGCGAGAGTATGACTAAGCACAATTTGTGAAATTGACACCATCTCAATCGTCATTTCCGGTTACGATTAGGTAGTGAGCTGTGTGAGGTTATTAATGGAATTTTGAATTTTAACATTTTCATGATGATAACAAGAACGACTTAATGCTAGGAAAAATATGACTAAATAAAATCGATGGCAAATTTACGTCGAACATGCACGCCTATGCAAATAATTATGGCGGAAATGCGATGAATTTAATACGTCTCCAAAGGTCGCAAAGCTCAACTCTCTCGTTATCTCGTTTAAAAGGCAAAACGACCAAGAAACCTGCTGAGTGCTGAACAGTGAACACCAGCAGTTGCTCTCTGGAAGTCGTGGTGTGTGTGTGAATCTTTTCGACGTGCGCCGGGTTTGACAGGATTCAAATTATACACCGGTATTGTTCTGGTAAAAGTAACTTATGGACACACATTTGAGCCACTCTGACTGTGTGCTATAACAAATCGGATATTTCTGCAGGAAATAGCTTGTTATTGCCTCGCTTTTTGTCAATTATCGGCGTAGGTAATCATCGCGCTTTTGTACATGTAGTTTCTACCAACGAAGAGTAATCGGGGCTGATGAGTAACAACACTTCTCCGATTCTGACTCCGTTACAAGTTTATACTAGCTTATAGCCTATAGGATATACTGTAATACAATATTACTTCATTAAATTGATAGTATATAGATGATAAATTTGAATAAAAGTTTGCAAAGACTGTGTTTTATCAAACTTCCGTTAATAAATCAGAGGACCGACGAACGCGTAAATAAAAGTATAGGTATAATGAAATGTGCGATAAGAAATGTATTCTAATATATTAACAAAGTAAATTCAATAAATTGTATTTAACGTTATAGAGTAGAGTCAGTAGACGCCTGTAGACCAATTTACATTTATGTAGTTATTTTGGAGAGTAGAGACTACCTACCAGTACCAGGCTACCTACTCAGGAGTCTCGACCACAGTCCACTGCCCGCGTGCCCGGCAGCGCCCACAGCACAGCCTCAGCCTCACAGGGTGGAAAATTAATATTGAACTGACTACTGAGTACTGAGTAGAACAGTTCCTCTAATTCTAAAGTCTAAATCTTTGACTGATGCTAATAGCCTAATGCTAGGCTGGTTCAATCACTTCAATGCAAAATTTACTTTATATTAATCCCTGTGATGTGTTCCATCACATAGAAATTTTGAGAAGGCACCAGATTTTGATATAGTTTGGCTGGGGCTCAGCAAAATCTGACAAAGGCTTATTGGATGAATAAGGTATATTCAAAGATCAGTAGCATCAAATTTTACTCAGCCCTGAGCAGGTGACTCAACTCTATTAGCACCTTATATATTTCTACTAATTTATGCAACACTATTTCTCCCCCATAAGCCTATAACATGATCTTTGTCACTTTCCATAACAAAACCCACATAAATTGTACAACCTGTATTATTATTATGGCTATATACCTGATACTATATAAATAGATCCTTAATGCAAATATTTTCTGCATATTTATTTACCTCTTCATCTCAACTGAGAACTGACCCATCAATGACACATAAGTTGCCACTCATAACTAAAAACTATATAATACTAGACAGAATTATGGTTTGTGGAGTTCAATAACCACAAAGCTGTGCATGATTGCTCTAGAAAGAGTATTCTTCAGTTTTGTTTATAAAATAGATAGTTTCTTTTGAAGGCCAGTGAAGAAGTACCTACTGTGGTGACATTTTACCTATTGCATTGATGGTAGGATCACACCCTGGCAGTGTGTTAAAGGCTTCATACTTATTTATATACGAAAATAATATACTTAAACAAGTTTTGTTAAAGACCAGAGAATTAGTTTTATTTACCAACTTCTTGTTAGTTTTTTCAATAAGTCGTACTAAATTCTTCGTAGGTGTTGGAAGATTGAAAATTAAATTACCGATAGACATTTTTAATATTTAACGACGTTTCGAATGTTTTGTAGCGTTCCGGGCATTCGCTGGCAGCGTTCAGGACCCTTCCGATATCTGTTGGTTTCCGATATACTTTTGTGACAACTGAATTATCTTTAACTTCCACGAATACATCCAAAAAAGGCAAGGTGCGATTTTGTCCAAGCTCATAAGTAAATTTCAAGACTGAATTCAGTTCGAAAGCTGTACGCAGTTTTTTTTACATAATTAAACTGCGTTTTTTTCTTTAACAAAACTTGTTTAAGAGAAGAAATTCTGCCAGCCTACACGAAAATAATATACCTACACTAAGATTTCTTTCAGCAATATATTAATAGGATTATTATTGGTATATTTAATAAAACATGCAATATGTATATCATTGAGATATGAGCAGTGCAATAACATAAATTTCAGCCAAACAAATCAATTTTGGTTTGGCTTAGGATTATAGGACAACTTTCACTTGCAAAATACACTGTTTTTTTAGAGGATATCAGAAGGAACATGTTGTGTTGCGTCAACAAGTAGAGGCATATAGATAGATTTTCTTTTCAAAATTTCTATCTTGCTTAATAAGTTTCCACTGTGATGGGCTTGAAGTTGTTTTTTGACTTGGTTCTCAATTTGGTTGTGGTACTCATCAACATATGTGATGGTTACATATGTGTGGTTACACATGTGATGTCTTTTCTGAAGTCTTGAATAATTTTTTCATCATTTAGTAAGAATGATTTTTTTCATGTATTATTCAAATTTGGGGGTGAGCTTGGCTGGAGTAGGGGAGCAACTATGTACTAAACACTTGTCTACTTTTAACCTATATATTATATATATCATTTCCAGAGTAATATATTGTGTTTTTGAAAAAGAAATATTTGAAAATACTTTTGAAGAAGGGGAGAAAAGGAATATTTTTCTCAGGATGCGGCTTTATTTTGCCTGCAGCATGTTCCTCATCTGGACTCTAGCCACACTTGCTCCTGTTATTGCGCAGGTGAGTGACATACTAATAACTAGACTATATTGAAGTATCATGAATACAACCATCATCATCATACATAGATTGGATAAAATTTTGAACTAAATCAGGAAATTAAAAATTAACTTGTTTCTAAAAAATCGCTGTGCTTGAGTTAAACTGTCCTGAGAATTTTTAGTGAGCACTACATTTTAGAATTATGTAGGATCCTTTGCATTTGCAAGTATACTACGTATCATGGATACTACTATGATCACCTTTGGTGTGCTTTGAACAAATTCTAATTAAGCCAAATTAAATTCTCATGGATTGTTATAATCTAGATTTATGCCAGTTTTACTTCAGAGACATGCAAATGAGGGCACTTGATATCAAACTGGATAAAGAATAGTTATTTCTGATTAGCATGCTATTGGTTTATGTAGAAATTATTGGCAAAAATGAATTCCTTCAGTCCAATCAGGGTTGACTTTTCATAGATACATAATCTCTCATTTTGTAGGTAGGTACGGGCGTACGGCTCTTGTCTCTATTTGTGAAGCACTGAACTATTAGGTTTATGTTCATGTATTTACAACTCTAGCTGGTATTCTTTTTTGTCAAGATCAATCAACTTGAGATCAATGTTGTAGGTGTTGAAATCAATTTTATTGTTGAGATCAATTTTATTCATTGGTGTTTTTGGTATCATTTAGTTCAAGTTCAATTAAGCTAAGTGAAGTAATTGAACCCTTACCCTCTAATTCTACAGTTTCAATTGAGCAAAAGAAAGCTTTGGTACTAGGAAAGATCCATTAAGGGATTAAGAAAGATGATGAAATGTTTGTGGTTTAGCAAATTTGTTTGTTGCTGTGGATATCTCATTTGAAATTTAGGATGCAGCACTATATCCTTGGTAGGATGCAGTACTATATCCTTGGTAGGATGCTGCACTAAATCCTTGGTAGGATGCAACAAACCAATCCTGATCGGTGCTTCTATCAAATTTTTCTGCTGGGATCTTGCATTTTGGAAAATCTGAAAGTTTTAAAATATGATTGGGTTATAATTTTACCTCAATATTATTTTATTTGCGTATAACTAAACTCAATTATATAAATGATGTCATTTCTATCTCACAAACTTCAGTTCCATTAGACAAATATCTACAAACTTCAAACATCAGTCATGATTCAAAATTCCAAACATCTACAAATGCGGTGTTGTCTGCAACCCAATACATTCTAACCAAACATGATTTCCCTCTTGCCTAAAAATGTTCTGGCAACCTCGTCATAATTATCAGTTCATTTATATAGCTTGAACTCAGAATGATGAGTTTTGCGTCAATTGTGCAGTTACAGCTAATGGCAGAAAAGCGATGTGCGTGACTGACTACTAAGTGTTGCGTTGCTTCAGCTTTGCCTATATGTGATACTGACATGCTTATATGTAATACTGACATGCCTATATGTGATACTGACATGCTTATATGTGATACTGACATGCCTATATGTGATACTGACATGCTTATATGTAATACTGACGTGCCTATATGTGATACTGACATGCCTATATGTGATACTGACATGCCTATATGT